AACAACAACAACAACAGGGAAGTCCAGTTCGTGACATCCAAGGTCGAGGTCATACCTCCAGTTACTAGTACTTCCAACGTCAAAAGTTGAAGGCGCTATGATACAGAACGTTGCACCTGGATCTGCCCGGGTCCGGCTCCAACACGTTGAAATTCTCAAAATCTCAAAGTCGTTCATTCCTACCGTCCTCCACAATCGTCGCACCTCCCCTTTCTAACGGAGAGGAACCAGCCTTTTCTTCAAGCGCCCCTCCTCCTTCACTTTCGTTCTTCTTCCTCTTTCTCTTCCAAGCACCAATTCAACCACCACTCTTGCATCTCGTCACGCCTTCGCCTTCGTTCACTTAGTCCGCTTCAACAATAACACCCTGTCCACAATTGGCCTTCCCTGGTGCCTGCAGGATTTATTGCCGGGCGCTCTCGCCCGTCCGCAATGTCACTACCCGTCGAGTCAACCAAGGGAAGCGAAGCACTGCGCCGGTTGCAGGATAATGCACACTATGGCTGATGCATTCCTTCCGGAATTTGCGAAACACCACCTTTACCGTCCTGAGAACGTTCATTGGTCTGTTATCCTGCAGTAGGTAGTCTCCCACAAAAGTCCCCTACCCATCTTCGATGGTTGATTCAGCTGGAAAGGGTGGCGGTCCCGGGCAGCAAGGCAAACAGGCAACTATCTTCGAGAGAACACCCCATTTCCGCGGACACACAAGAAAAGCGAACAACAACCCACTTCGCTTCCTTCTTCACGCCGTTTCTGACAAATAGTAATCAGGAAACCGGATCCCATCGCCTGAACATCAGCACCAACGAAGGAACACCTACGAAATTGGCGCCATGTCGATGACACAGGAGAATATCAACCGGTTGATTAGCGTACTCGACGGCATCCACACCAATCTCGAGAGCCAAAGTACCCAGATCAAGAGTCTCGCTGAGCTACTGCGACCTTTGGCGCAATCGAGCACGGGGCAGGCACCGCAGGAGCTCGCGGAGAAGGAAGGCATCAATCGGGATCTGGGGAATGAAACCGCTGTCTCTCAAGTGGCCAAAGCTCGATCGGCGGAAGATAGCACTTCATGTGCAACCGCTGACATACCAGCCAGAGCAAGTAGAGAGGAGGACAAGCCAGAACCGCCAACGCCTCCAACAATGTTCTATCTGGCCGGAATCAAGACTCAGTATGCCCTGGGGCAGCTACCAATGGTGTATCAATTGCAAGAAAAGACTGCAAGTCTGGCTCGCGGGGAGGAGTGGGCATACTGTGAGTACTTAGATGCGAGACGTCAAAGCTCTGCACAACTATCAACCGGCTGAAAATAATCACTAACTTCATGTGCTACAGGGAGACCAGTCTTTGATGGACACAAACTGCTTGCTGGTCAGGGGCAGCCGGATTTTGTACCAGAGTGGGAGATTTGCTACGACAATGGCCAGGCGTACCACATTGACGATCATAAACGAAGGCATCCGCTTCCAGGCGCACCCGGACCTGGCCAACAACCAAGTTCTGGCACCATTGAGCTCCTTGTCCCTTACTCATGCAGTCCGCCTCCCACAAACTACAACGGATATTTTCCTCAGAAAGGATTCGGCGAAGTGACTAGACGTGTTAGGGAAGTCTTGAGTAATTTTTGCCGCATACAATCAGATGGAAGAGTGCCCCTGACTTGTGAAGCTTACATTCTACGAGATCACCATATGCAGGGTAGACTTACGGAAGAGTTGCAGACCACAAACACCTTCCTGTCGAAGCTCGAGAGCAGAGGGTGTGAGTTTAGCGTTTACGACATCGACGACTACGGCAACTTTTTCCGCTATAGACGTCAAACAGTGATCAATGCTGATCTAAAGTACTTGGGCTGGTCAGATGAGGTAGTCGAAGACATGAGCCGCGGTATGGAATCTCAGAAACGAGACGTCTGGAAGCCTCAATGGTCTCTTACCCGAAGCCATGCGGAAAGAATCAGCCTAAACATACCGCCAATATGGCATCGCATGGAAAAGACAACCGATGGATGGAGACATTCAGAATCACCGCTTGTGGAAGTTCAACCATGGTATCGCATAGTTCATTTGGAAGAGTGCGAGCGCCTTGGAGCTAAAGGGAACTCAGAAGGTTTCTACAAATCCCTGTTTCATGTTAATACAGAATTCATGGGGCAATACAGCCCCTTCTCCCATGCAATCTATGAGCACCTACGACCCAATGGCACCCAATTCGCTCCTACTACTGGGCTGCCTACGGTTAATCACTTCATTACTTGGCCTGCCACTCCCTTCCAGGTTGTATGCCTGCGGATGGAAGCGGAGGGGCTAAATGAGGGCAATGTGATGGACTCACTATGACATAGAGGCCCCTTATATGGGGATGCACCTTGGCTAGTAGGGAATTTCTATGGGAAAAGGCAACTCACGCAACACGCCATTGCCGTATCCATTCTTCAGCAAATCACCGGTTCAAATAGTGACGGCAGCCCCATACGGAGTCCCTACTACACAATCTTGCTTCTCTCCGAGCCTGGAAGAGTGTCCCCATTCCCCCCTCTTGAGCACATGCACCCAAACATCCATTCTTGGAGACCCGCGGAAGCTGTTCTGTATTTCATCGATGATACACTGAGCAGAGCTTCATTCGACTGGATTTCCGTTGAGAAACACATAGATCACCTAACTCAGCATGATGCAACCATCATATTCCGACAGGAAATCCCTAACTCAGTCTTGTTCAATGACAGAAATTTCTCCAAAACGAAAGACTATTATTGGGCCACAAAAGTCTCAGACTCTGCATCGACACACTGGCAAGCACGCTACAGCAGTGGAAGTCGTTTTGGGAAATACACGAGCAAAACCCACGAATGATTGAGAGTTTCAACCGGTCTACCTTCAGGGAAAGGGCCACAGCGGAGTCTCAATCCAAGTTCTTCCCACACGAAGAGGTTTTTGGCGTTGATTATTGAGTCTCTTTGATTGAGAAGACCAATCGGGATCTGGAAATGACTTTGTGACGGTTCAAAACCAAAATGCAGCAAACTATAGAGCATAAAAGCTTGGTATGTGTTTTTGATACACCTCAGCCATGGTTAACATCATGTCCGCGTGACTAACAAGCCAATATTGTAGCTCATGAGCGCAATTAGCGTAAAAGAGGCACGAGAGGCAACGCTCCTTGCTGAGAATGTCAGGTCGCTAACCTACGTCAACATCATTTTTCTTCCACTCAGTTATTGTACTTCACTATGGGGGATGGAAAGCGGCTCCAACACCGGCAAGTTGGCCTGGGCTACCGTCATGGTTTTCTTGATAACTTGCCTGGCGGTAACAAGCTTGGAGACTACAACTCGCTCGTTTCGCAAGGCCTGGAAGGAGATGTTCTCGCTCGGCAGACGGCCCCTGATCGCTCGCATGGAGAAACACAGAAACTGGTCTTGGCGTAAGCTTGCCGGGGATCTCGAGAGAAAGACCGGACCAGATGAGAAACCTAATACCAAGCCAAGTGAGTGGCTCGTTGTGGGATTCCTCTTCCATTTCTATCAAATCGCATATGCCTAGGTCAAACGGTTACCTTAGATATGGGCGACATGGTTTCAGAAGATCGGCAAAGGAACACCTACAGGTACGTTCGGCATAGACATGTTCTGGATCAGTCCAACATTCTCACACTGATGGCACTGACATACTCCTCCGCCCCAGGTACAGACCCGGACAAGAAACATCAGTCTAAACCGGATGTCAATGTCAAACAGAAAAGCACGGCCACTGAGACGCCGAAGAGCAAAAATCCCATGACTGTCTTGAGGAAACTCCGCCCTCGTTCGAACAAGGATATCGAGAAGGGCAATCTGCCAACCGAGAAGACAGCCACTTCCCTGACTGACAAGAACGCAACAGCATCTTCTGAACTAGAAGCCAAACCATGATCCATTCGCCGGAACATAAGAGCTCGCTGGCTGTACCTAAAAAGGACCTTCAACTTGGCAGATGCACCACCGTCACCATAGAATCCTGACCGAGTTCTCCATTCTCTCGTCGCTCATGCTTCGACTATAAGGTGCAAAGCAACCTGAATCCTCGACCCATAGAAAACCTTTACAAGTGCCAGGAGAACAAGACCAGAACCACTTCTTGCGTTCCTCGCTCTGCGGACAGAAAGCAACGTCCCAGCTAACGTCGACGTAATCCAGCTTCATCCCTTTCCCACAGCAACACACGGGCGTGGCATCGGCTTCTCGACTTCCAGGATTTGAGATATCCCATCTCTTACCTACATCATGGCTGGTGACTGGACCCTCTCCACTTGGTTGGCTTTCATTGCTGATATCTCTCCCATCAACGTCATCACCGCCGCCAGAACTATCAACGGGAACTGAACCAACACCATCACCCTTCACAGCAAAAACACCATCAAAGGATTCATCAGCCCATCTAACCCACCCCAACCCGTACGGACACCGTCTACAAGCAAAGTACTTCCTCCCTGCATTCCCCTTTGGGTTCAGTGGACCAACGGTGTAAAGCGTCGAGGGTTTGTGGCAGGTATTACAGGGCGGTCCCCGTTCCGTTCCCGTTTCGTGGGAAGCTGGCTTCAGCAGTGGTAGTGTTTGCTTTGAGCTTGGAGGTGTTAACGGACCTGAGAAGTCGGCAAGGCCCGAGAACGATGCGGGGTAGGGGCGGGATGCTGAAGAGGTCGGTGAAGGAGAACCGACAGACTTGGATGATTGGCTGGGTTTGTCCGAGTCCGACGACGAAATTTGGATGCGGGACGATACGGCCGCGAGGTTGAAACGTACGTGGTGACTTTTGTGGTGGTGGCGCTGCTGCTTGCGTGCGTGGCTAAGGGGTAAGGCCGATGGCGGAGGGGAGGGCGACGGTGTGGGTAGGTGAGCTTGGCTCGTCCGCGGCGTTGTCTCTGGCTTCTTCTGAATCTGGTGGGATACATGTTTTGTGGGCGTTTGCGGCGTCATGGCTCGGGGTTGCGGCCGTTTGGGAACTACTGTTATGAGAACGGAAAGATGAAGTGTCACCTCGAGTGAGTTGAAATTGGCATGTTTTCTTGCAAGATCTTTTGGTGGGACGAAGAGTTCATTTTCAACATCTGGTACAAGCATCAGAGAGATCCAGATGCCAGAATCTTGTGTCACCTCATCTGCTGCAAGAGGCCCACGACTTGTCCAATCATGTTGTCGTTGATGCCTCGATCCGTCCAGCGGCAAACCAATGGGAGGAGGCATGCATGTTGACAAACTTGGTGAGGAATTGAATGGTAGGATGGGGGAGAAAAAAACATGAAGGGTTACTAAAATGTATGGCAAAGCTCAGGGAACGAGTTGGGGAAAAGATATGATAGAGAAGATGGGCAGGAATTGCTGGAAAATGATGTGTCGGGAGGATCATGTCGAAGACGCCCTCGATTTCGCACGGTTGTGGTCAAAAGTGGAGTCCCCCTCCCCTAACTCTTACAAACGGTGTGTTTGATCTCGGGATCCGGTTCTACCTATCCGGCTACTAACCCTCCGAGGTCTCAACTCTCTCGGAACCTTGCAGTAGTGTTGCCGTTTTGAGTCGTCTTGAGGAGCTGATGACTATCATGAGCTTTCGTACCTCACCTACCCTCACTGTCTGAAACCCTGCTATCGACCAGTTTGGAATCTGAAAGTTAAAGCGAATGCATCAACGCAGGTTGACAGGTTCGGGTGTAGCGCAGCAGCAGCAATGCCGATGGTGAATTTCGGCTCAGCAATCCGATCAGCATGCAGGGACGTGGTGACGTACATGTATGCAACATGTACACATGAGGCTCAAAGGCGGTCGGTCGGTGTTCTGTCCACGTGGTGGCATCAGAACTTCAGCATATGCCTTCGCCTTGTGAAGATAGATATCAACTCCTCGGATCTGGTCGTGCCCTTTCGTTCGTATTATTGCCGAAACTAGTCTCCCGCGTCGACTGACATGGAAAGCCCTAGACAGAGATCCGCCTGACAGCTCCTCGTCCGAACTCAACTGCACGGACATCATGAGTTCATGGCCGGCCGAACACCCAACTGCCACGGGGCGTGGACACAAAGTCGTCCCTGGAATCTGGGTCACGCTGATAGACAGATGCATACTGTAGGTGCGTCTGAGCGTCCCGGCCGATGATGCGGCGCGTGACAGTATTCCACCACACACCCTCGTAGGGACGATGAGAGGCAAAAAAAAAGAAAAAGACGAATAGTGTCAAAAGTAAATGATCAAAAAAAGGATGGGCCAAAGGCAGAAAAGGCAACATAAAAAAGGAAAAAAAGATGATGTTGAACATCGGGAATTGAGCCCGACGTGGGGGTCGAACCCACAACCTTGAGATTAAGAGTCTCACGCTCTACCGATTGAGCTAGCCGGGCAGCTGAAATGCTGCCATGTCATTGGTTATTTGATGGGAGCCAGACTTTAGTTTTATAACGCTTTGGTCGGCGTTTTTGGCTGTTGCGTAAAGCAATGTCAACTTGATATCTGTCATCAGTGATGCGGCAATACCTTGGAAGAAATGGAAATGCAAAAGCCTGGTGGGGAGGGAAGGTTCAATAAGCAGAGGTTTTTGTTTCTCCATGCTTACTACCAAATCATGTTTGTTCTCGTTGGATATGGCGACAGGAGACAACGCTGCGGAAGATGAAATCTTCAAGCGCGTATCCTGCCTGCTGCCCGTCATCGCGGGTCTTGTGAGACCCTAGCCCCACAGAGGATGCCAATGTGATCATCAGGTTATCGGGCTTTTCGAAGAGATACGGGAGCAGGCCTGACGAGCAGCGTTGAACTAGATGCGCAAGGGCCTCACAGGTTCCAAGGAGCAAAAGACTTGTCCGAGCTCCTAGCTCCAAAGCGCAACTGAGAACCAGGGACTTGGACCGAGTGCGATTGTCATCGGTCGAGGAACTCTGCATTGGAAGTTGAAGCATCTGATTTCTCATTTCGTGACTGTTACTTGTCGATTTCCGAGCTAAGGACTGATCCCACCTTTGGCTTCGCTCCACGCATTGGTATTTCTCTCACAATCCTGTTCAACAGCTCGGCGGCGGATATGTGGTTCTTGGTTTGCTGCCTGCTTCCTGGTTGGGTACAGTATCGCCCATAGAGAGAGGACGCAGATATTTCGCTATGATCTGCAGACCTGGACGTGTATGCAGGGTCTAAACGGAAGTGTATGCTGAAACTAGGCAGCTTGGAAACTTAAGCTGAACATCCAACCCTCGACTGAACGATGAGTGTGAGAGGTACATGCCCCTGGTAGTGGTGATACACTAGCTACCTCCATGCAGGTACAGTCGGAAAGGCAACCATACGGGGTAAGAAAACTCGCATAATTGTTGTCCAGACCCGTAGTTTCAGGAATATGCTGACAACGATAACCGCCGCCCGTTTGTGTCACGGGGATCTTCCGGGCCGTCATCCGTGTGGGGGTTTCGTCCGAGGCACAAGGTGAGCCGGAGGCAGTACGGTAGGTAAGCGAGCCTCGACTTTTTTTCCCCGGCAACTACCTAGTTATCTTTATTTACGAACAGGATGCCCACGATTAGAAGAATGTGATTGCAAGTTCTCTGGACTCGTCCATTTGAGGCTGAAAATTCTGTGTAAATTGCTGGATACTGAAGCAATATGGTTCACTGGAGATTGGCAAGATTCGACCCTCGTTCTCGGTTTACCTATGGATAACACCAGAAATTGTCATCGTTTCTCGTTTCCTTTGTTCGACGGATCGAGACCTAGAGTAAGCCCCCGATCCGTGTCTTCTCCACATTCCCGGATCCCGACTCCTCGGAATCGTAATCGCGTGTCTCTTATCTTTGCCGCTGCTGAAATTTTGCCATGCGAGAAATGCGAGAAATGCGTTCAATGCCAGGATATTCTTTGTTGCCAGCTACACCGGTTAGCTGCCATTCCAGCTACCCCTTTGTTCCTGCAAAAAATCTCTCCGTGCCGCATGGCCCAGATCTTGAAACCCGTCTTTCGGTGCAACCAGTGGCGTCGCCCTGACACGCCATGGTGCTGGGCATGGCCATGCCGCGGCTACTTCTTCAGCCCAGCCTGTCTGTCGTGCCTGTCTGTGAGACTGTGGCTTGCTTCAAAAACATCCGAACCACAAAAACAGGCGATTTCAGCATTGCAAGGAACCCGAGACAGCTCCAGCTAGTTGTAGGCGAAACAACGATCCATCCAGATCGAGCCTGAAGACTCCGAGGATCAAGGCAGTCATTTCGGCCACGGTCAGTCAACGGACTCAGAACTCAAAAAGGTGGGTCCCGTTGTTCTGTGTGGTCTGTCGGTCGGCTACTTCTGCGAATCATGTCTCACGGCTCACGGGACCGAAAAAGGAGAATCACCAGAGTGTGTGTGTGACGCGGGGTTGTTGTCCAGACGCGGCGGGTGAAGACATGCGTGCAGATCGCCGTTCGCCGCTTTGGACTGTTGAACAGCGTTGAGAAGCGTGGGCAACCCGTTGCCTGCCCGCATTCCTTTTCCCGGAGACATCGGCTGCTTTTGTATATCCCACGCGTGGGCTATGCAAGGGATAAACAAAGAAACAAAGCGGCATTCCGATGCCGTCGCGTGCTGCCGGGTCGCTATAGGTAGGTAGCCATGTGTGCTTCTCGTGCCGACCCCTTTCTTCTCGAAGGAGTCGAAGGTTGCCGGTTTGCATTGAGTGGACGCGTCACGGTCGGCGGCCAACAGATGCAGAAGTTTTGACCTGTCACCGGCAGGAGATGGCTGTGATAATCGAGATGCGTCAATCAAGCAACGCTTCGTGGTTGTTTACCAAGTCAGTTGCTTGTTTGCTCCCTGCAGTGTCACCGTCGCTTTTGTCGCTTGTAGTCGGTCTTGACTTTCAGCGAACTCCGACTGGCGAGCTGCAAATCTCGCGTATGACGGTACCGTCTGAGCACTGCAGACACGCATGAAGACGTACAAAGGGTCGATTCGAACTGCCGCAATTGATCTGGGGTAATTAAGACTGCTGTCGTCGACTGTTGTGGTCAGATTGGAGGGGAGAAAATGACCCCGTTGGGCGTATTTGGGCGGCTCACTTCTCGGCCGACGCCCAAACCGTCACAAACAGTCGAGGTGACACGGGAGGCCAAGAGGCGAGCATGAGACGTTTGGGCAGTTGCAGGAGACGCTGACGACGTCCATAGCATTGTTTGTGTTGCCGACGTCGGTAGGTCGGCCGCTGAGTGCCCGAACAGAGTATGCGGGACGGCTATGTCGGAGGCATCGCCCTTGTTCGAATGCCCGGTGTCAGTGTAGTCGGTTGTTGTGATACGTATTCGGGTGCCGGTGAGCACCGCTCGGATGCGGAGGGTACGTGGCATAGCAAAAAATGTGCTGAAATGGTGACGTCGAAATTCGTGACCAGAGATGCTCTCACACGGAACCTGAAGCCCTAGACCAAGTCTCTGGGAAATGCGGTCTGTGAGAGACTTCGGCATTGGGCCGTAACTTGTGATTGTCCCTGGTTGGAGGCTTGTTGGAGACTTCCCTAATACAGTCAGCAAGAGACAGCTGAAACAAATCAGAGTCGAGGCCATTGATGGCTGAGGTACGTACCTTGGTACTGGTGCAGACAATGCACAGCGATTGGAAGCCGAAAGGAGGAAGCGCTCTCGGATGCCATGGAGTGGGCATACGCGGCACATGTAATCACATTGTTGCCCACCCTTTCTTGACACATTGGCAATTAATTTAAAAGGTCATGAGGTCTGCTCTTTGATGCAACCTTACGTCGGCCTCTTTTCATGATCAAGTTTGCTGAACCCTTGAAGTCGTCTTGCCATCGTCATATGTAAAGGATTCACGACCACCAACTATCACACGCAGATCAGACACGATCAAGAAAAAACAACATAACAGACACCAAATACCACTCAGTATGGCATCCGGAGACGTTGTGTTGTTGACCGGTGCCACCGGCCACCTTGGCTGGGCCATTCTTCAGTGCCTACTCCGTCAAGGATATCATGTTCGGTGCGCTGTCCGAAAAGCAGAGGACGAACACACAATCCGAGCCCGACCCACACTACACCGCCTCAATGCCGCTTCGAAACTCTCCTTTATCGTTGTGCCAGACATCACGACAGCAGGTGCATTCGTAGCGGCCGCCGAAGATGTCGCCTATATCATCCACACAGCGTCTCCTCTACCAAGCAAGTCAGGTCGTTGGATCGCCGCAGATGACGCCCGAGAGACTTTCATCAAGCCTGCTGAAGCCGGAACACTCAACGTTCTCGAAGCGGCGGAGCAAAGCGGGACGGTAAGACGTGTTGTCTTCACCAGTTCCATTGCCGCCATTGTTCCGATTTTACAAATGGAGGGCAAAGAGAGGAGAGAACAGCCCGTGCTTCCCGAAGACCGGATACCCGTCGACCCAGGGCCATACGAATCCGAGTTTGCCGCCTACGCAGCCTCCAAGTGTCGAGCGCTTGAAGTGGCCGAGGAGTACATGGCGAACGAGCGGCCATTCTTTGACGCCGTGTACATACACCCGGGCTTCGTGCTGGGGGCAAACACGGCAGCGACAACGGAGAGACAGGCGATGAAGGGCACAAACTCCATGTTGGCAGCCCTACTCCTAGGCCATGGCCAGGGGGTATACGCAGGGGTGTCGGTGCATGTCGAGGACGTGGCACGAGTCCATGTCGAGGCTCTAAGTCCCTACATTCTTGGGGATCAGAGCTTCATCTTGGGCGAGCAAGTGCGGTGGACCGATGCCATCGACGTTGCCGAGGAAGAGTTCCCAGAGCTTTTCGCGAGCAAGCTGTTGACGACCAGCGGATACTACCAGACAGTCAGCATACCAATCAACACCAGCCTAACGAGAGACACATTTGGAATGGAGTTCATCAGCTTTGCCGACCAGGTGAAGAGCGTGGTCCAGCACTGGGCCAAAGTACGGCAGCCTCAAGTGGTGCCATCTTCAACTGCTTCAAGTCCTCCAATAGAAGCACTGGACTGGGAGAGCGCAGAGACGGCCGCGGACGGGACGCCAATTGCGTACAGTCCAAGCAGCAAATCCGAGTTGGGCATCCCAGACGTGCATCTTACCCATCTTTCTCTGCCGAAAGAGTACGCGGGGTTGGAGGAGCACGACTACGGCACAGCAGAGGTCATACCACCACCGTCCACGGAAGAAGAGACATGGGAGGGCATCATCCAGCGGCACATCATTCCTTCGGAGGCTTTTCCTTCTTCGGGAGACAGCGGCGGCAGCAACTGGTCGACGGCGTCGGATCACACTGAAGGGGTCACTCCCAGTGCATCGGGTGACGAGGAAGGGCCGGCAATTTATTACGATTCAGATGCTGAAGATGATTCGAGGATGCATGTCGACGGTGGTATTCTTCAAATTGCGCAGGAAGCCAAAATGCCCCCTTCAAGGCAGGGAAGCGGCGTGGAGATGACAAGTCGTGGTGAGGAGCCATCATGTTGGAGAAGAGTTGAAGACAATTGATGGATGTGGGAATCGCGCGTTGGAGGGGCACAGCTGGCAGGCAATCGTTTCATGCATGAAAAGCGGGGCAATAATGGTCAACTCTCGTTTTGGACATACTGAGATACCCGGACATGCCTGTCACCCGAACTTGGGTGAGAAGCGTTGGAGTTTTGCATATAATATGTACAATATATACTCTAGATATTCCTCATGGTACTTTTGTCATTAAGTGATCATCCTGCTTTTTGTTCGACATTAGCGTGATGTTACCCAAGTGCAGCGACATAGTTCTCGCAAGTCACCTACGCTTTCCATGAATTCCCCCCTCAAATGCATAACACCCGCGCCCGGCCGCAAATACTGTTGCATCAAGCGGAACGTATCAACTCTGCGGGCTACTTGGTCGATAAGATAAGGAAGGTACAGACCAGAAGTTCTGACGCCACTTGCACACGTCAATTGGGAAACACCCCTGTAGGACGCCTGTTGCTCAGTGCTACGGCAGTCATCATCCACAGCTTGTCGCGGACACCTCAACCTCCAAACAATCTCCAAACAACAACATTCCGCTGTCATCACCACATTTCCGTTTCGTCTTTCTTTTGTTTTTTTCCCAACGAATACACCGAAATCAATTCGCCATCATGGCTGGCCTCGGCGGGCTCAACTTCAACCCCTCGAAACTCAACAAAGCCACCGCCGCCGATTACTCGTCCTCGGATTCGGACGCCGACGACAACGACGACTTCCAAGTGCCATCGTGCAATCCCCACGACGACGAATTCGGCGATTTCAATCCACGAAAGAGACGCAGAACCGGTCGTGACGCAAAGGAAGATGCTGCCCTCGGTATCTTTGGTTCCGAAAGCGAAGACGAGGGTCCTCGATGGAAGCGCAAGAATCTCCGCACAAAGGGCGTCAGCTTTGTCTCGTCAGCCAACAACAAGCCAGCCAACTCGGACGATGAGGACGAGATTGATGACGAAGAGGACGAAGAGGACGAATACGACGCGCGACCGTCGATGAAGGCTGTTCATGCAGAGGACGACGAGGAGAACGAAGAAGAGGAGGAAGAGTCGCGAGGCGTTGGTCTGGGCTTCAAAGGTGCTGCTGCCGCTGCAGCTACAGGTGGCCAAGGCCTGGGATGGGTACCGCCGACACAACAGCAGAAAGAGAAGAGTCCGCCACGACGACAATCCTTTGTCAAATCAACGATCAACATGTCGAACCCTCTCGGTCCAGGATTTACTCCGTCCTCGGCCAAAGCCCCCACGCTCCTCGCAAACGATGACAATGAGCCTCCTACGCGCCGTGTCGCTCTGCCCAGCGCCTTTGCCCAGGCAAAAGGTGGAAAAACAAAGACCAACAAGATGTCCTTTGCTGCCCGCATGATGGCCAAGATGGGCTATGAAGAGGGCAAAGGCCTCGGTGCAGAAGGCCAGGGGCGCAACGTCATTATCGAAGCCAACCTCCGTCCACAGGGTGCTGGTCTAGGCGCCGTCAGGGAGAAGACGCAACAAGAACGAGAAGAGGAGAAGCGACAGGCACGTCTGCGCGGAGAAGAGCTGGTGGATTCGGAAGAGGAGGAGAAAAAGAAGAAGGCTGCCCGGCGAAAGAATAAGTCTCTAGGTGGTGGACTCGGAAGTGGTACCGCCAGCGCTGGCAGCACACCGCGACCCAAGAAGCCCAAGTACATGACCTTGGATGAGGTCAAGAAGGTTGCGCCGGGGCTGAACATCCCCGATGCCTTTACTCCCATTCTGGACATGACTGGGCCTGGAAAGAAGATGCTTACGACGTCTTCCGGCCTAATGACACCCACCGGAACCACTACCCCTGCCGAGTCGACGGAGGCGGCCGAATCTCGAAAACTGGTTAGACGGGCCCAGAACGATTTTATGGCGATTCTAGAAGAATGGCAGAGCCTTCAGGAACGGAAGGCGTACGCCGAATTGCAGCTTAAGCAGGAGCAGCAGGAGCTGGACGAGCTCACGGCAAGTCTACAGGCTAACCGGGCCATCACGGGTCTTTGCGAAGTGCTCTCTACCCCCGTCGAGAGCGGCGAGTTCGACAAAAAGGACGATCTCGACTACAAGTTGCGACGCACAATTCAGGGGCTAGAGCACGCCTCCAGCGCCTTTTCTGATGCCATGCTGCCACAGATCAAGGATGAGGTCGCATTACTTGCCGTTGCGGCCATCTATCCTGCGCTTAGGGAGTACCTACAGATCTGGAAGCCACTCGAGGACCCCAAGCCCAAATTCGTCGACGGGCTTGTGTCTATCAAGAAGCTACTCGGCCTCGACCAGAAGACCAAGCCTACCCACCGTCGGGCCACAGCAACCCCCTACGAGACCATGATGTACCAGCTCTGGCTTCCTGCTGTGGCAAGTGCCGTCCGGATATGGGACGTCCGTGAGCCCGACCAACTCATCGCCGTCTTTGAAGCCTGGGATGGCTTGATACCCACCTTCATCCGTTCCCAGCTTCTCCAAGACATTGTCCGCAAACTCGAAGAAGCCGTCCAGAAGTGGCACCCCCAAGAAGAAGAGCAGCACATCCAACCTGCCGCACGGGTGGATCTTTCCCTGGCTGCCCTACCTACCGGCCACCCATCTCGACCCCAAGAGCTCGACCGGTCTTGTAGCCGACGTCAAGCGCAAATTCCGCCAGCTTGTCGATGTTTGGGAATTCAACCGCGGCGTGATCCCGGGTCTCAAACAATGGAAGGAAGTCCTCCGTCCCCACCGCGGATCTGATCAATGGGGTCCGCTGGTGATGAACCACGTCCTCCCCAACATGGCGCGGTACATGCGCAAGAACTTCCGCGTCGATCCGCGCGACCAGGAGCCGTACATGGACATGCTCGACGGGCTGTTCAAATGGCTTGACGTGATCCGTCCCTCCATGGTTGGCGAGGTCATCGTTGCCGAGGTGTTCCCTATGTGGCACGACGCGCTGTATCAGTGGTTACTCCTCGACACGGCGAACTACGAGCAGATCGGTCAGTGGTTCGAGTGGTGGCAGGATTCGGTGTTCCCCGAGGAAATCAAGTCGCTCCCGTCCATCACGGCCGAATTTGAGAAGGGCATGAAGATGATTGAGCGTGCTTTGGATCTGGGCGATCGGGCCAAAACAGACCTCAAAGCTCCTGAACGAGGGCCCGCTTTGCCATCATTCAAGTCTTCTTCCTCCTCTAGGCACGACCGCGAACATCGTCATCACGTGAAACACCGCGAACGAGAGGCCCAAGCCCAGGCAGCGGCAGCTGAAGCGGAAAAGAATAAGCAACCGGAGGAAATCACGTTCAGACATGCGCTGGAGGATTGGTGCCAGGAGAATGACATGCAGTTCATCCCCGAGCGCAAGAAGATGCATGCGGATGGACCTTATTACCGGATCACAGCGAGAGGGGACGGGAAAGGTGGCGTGCTGGTTAGGTTCAAGGGCGATGTGCTGTTTGTGGAGGTTAAGGGGCAGGATGCGCTTAAGATTCATCGGGAGCCGCAGAGTGGGTGGGAGGCGCTTTTGGAGTTGGTTCTGTAGAGACCGGGAAATGATAGGACAGGGTAAATTGAGAAAGTTGGTATCCAATTTGCATCTTCAGAGCAGTTTGGTTTTGTGGTTACTCATCTTCCGGTTTCACATGAAGTTTGACAATGGAATTTGAAGCTCGCGGGTTGTAAATGGTAAGGGCTTGGCGGTGTTTCCGTTCGTTCTTTCCTGGGTTCGTTCTCGCTTTCGGGCCGTTGACGGTAGACGGCAGGAAGTACCAACACTTCGGGGTCGACACCACACACACAACATGGGGTGGCAGTCGCGACCGACTACACTTCTGAATGCTGTACAATTTATTCCAGATTTCGTAGGGCATTCACCCTCCTTCTCCTTCTACGTATGATCCAAAAAACCCAATCAAAAAGTTGGCCGGCAAATTGGTTCGCCTCAGCTTCTCCTTCTTTCTTTGTACCACTGCAGCTCACATCACCAACATCCCGCGGCGACAACGCCAACGTGGCACAGCCGCGCCTACATTTTCTCTATCTGTCAAATTACCCAGGAAGATCAATCACACTTTTCACATTACATACCGTCTCTGCATTATCTTCTCTGTTCGCTTGCAAGCCGCCACAGTCGCAGAAGTACCCCCTCAGCTCGCGTAACACTTTCTTCCAGACTGTTTTTGTTTTTGTTTGCTGACGAGATCTGCTCCATCCCTTTAATTTTGCTGTTCCAGTATTTCGACCACTCCCATCACGTCCTCTCAAGTACTGTCAGCGAGGATCGGGAAGTTTGGGAAACACACACAGGCCGAGGGATGTCAGCATTTCTACTTTACCTATCTATGCCTGCCTTTTTCTCCGTTCCTTGCCAAACTCAAAAAATTGTCGCCTGTCACGGCAGAGGCTGAAGACCGCCAAGACACAAAACATTACCAATGCTAGCAACGCCCAGCGTCCAAGCCCACTGAGTCCAGTGGGGCACTGGGGGCAGGCAGCGACCACCACGGCACCGGGATCTGGGATTCACGACACCGCCCACTTTAGAGTCCTTCAAGCCCACTTCGTTCAACCCGATTTATTCGTCCGACGATGAAATACGATGACTTCATTCAGTATCCAGTTTTCAAGACATCCAGAACGAGTGATGGTCACTTCTCACTCTCGATAACTGATGAGGCTCTTGCAATACGGACAAGTTAAGGAGTTGCGAGATGGCTTTCGCTTTCGGTTCAAAGAGCTATGGAAATGATGCCGGTACCCATCCAACAAGCGCGTTGTCCCGTCCACGCCGCCTGGCCGCATTTTGTTAAGCAACAGCCAAGCCGATTACGCCCAGAAAATGCTGTGGTAACCCCGTTTGCTTTTATGCTGCAGCCTGCGGGAGAAATGTCTTTTCGCTGCTGGTTTGGCGAATGGCGGTTTGGGGCTGTTTTGGGCTTTTCGGGCTGTGTGATTGAAGGATTGGGTTATTGCGACGCTGCTGGCCAGGGGCCCAGCACACAGCAGACAGTCACATCCCAGCACACATCGTTACGGGCATCGTGCGAATTATATTCTTGGCTTCGCTACAGTGGGGACCATGGACGCTAAGCTCCATAGGAGGTAGGGCTGATGCTGGCCGCTGGCGTGGTTGGCGGCGGCGTGGATCCTGTTGGATCCTGTTAAAAGCTCGCTTTGTCCCGCCTGTTTTCGCGAAAGACGGAAGAGAGTGACGGTGAACGGTTTCTCTCATCCTCTTGTACCGTCTTATTTTTTTTGGTTACCGGATCCTGATCAACAGCAAATATGGTCGGTTTCAAGAACGTCGCGCTCTTCGCGGCGTCGATCATCCTCCCCGCAGCATGGGCCGCTCCCATTGTCGAAGTCCAGACGCAGCCGATCCCCCGAAAGTATATTGTGCTTCTCAAACCGCATGCCGATCTCGAAGGCCACCTCACCTGGGCGAAGGATGTGCACTCTAGGAGTCTGTCACGACGAGACACAGCCGGCGTGCACAAGGCGTGGAGTGTAGGAAGCAAGTTCAAGGCTTATGCGGGAGAATTCGACGAGGAGACTTTGAAGGTCATTCAGCGGGACGAGAATGTATGTCTCACTGAGTTGCCAAGCCCCTGAATCCTCGGGCACCCGACTCTAACACCTCAACCCATAGGTCCAAACCATCGAGCCTGACAACAGCTGGCGGCTCTACAAGGGCAACGACAACGTCATCTCCAACTCCGCCGAAACCTCCATCATCACCCAAAAGTCAGCGCCCTGGGGCTTGGGCTACCTCTCCCACAAGGGCGAGTCCTCCTCCGACTATGTCTACAACTCCACCGCTGGCGCCGGCACGTACGCTTACGTGGTCGACACGGGATGCTGGAAAGACCACGACGACTTCGAGGGCCGTGTGCATCTCGGCCACAACGCTTATCCCAACTCGTCCTTTATCGACATGGACGGCCACGGCACGCACGTTGCTGGCACAATCGCCGGGAGGAAGTACGGAGTGGCCAAGAACGCGACAGTTATTTGCGTAAAGGTGTTCCATGGCGGCGGTGTATGTTACCCTTTCCTTTCCCCGCCCCAACCCTTTTACCCTTTTCGAACACCGACTAACAAACCATCTTGCGCCTTTAGTCCGCCAACTCGATAGTAATGGACGGTTTCGAATGGGCCGTCAAGGACATCATCGCCAAAAAGCGCCAAAAAACCTCCGTCATCAACATGTCTCTGGGGTGCGACCGCTCCGAAGCCTTCAACTCCATCGTCGACGCCGCCTTCGACGAAGGCATCCTGACCGTCGTGGCAGCCGGCAACGAGAACCAGCCAGCCGCCATGGTCTCCCCCGCCTCCTCCATCCGCGCCTTTTCGGTGGGAGCAATCGACAGCAAGAACACGCGCGCTTATTTTTCCAACTTTGGCAATATCGTCGACATCTTTGCTCCCGGCGTGGATATCGTGTCCAGCTACATTGGCAAGAAGGAGGGCGAGAATAATCGCACCATGACCATGAGCGGAACGTCCATGGCCAGTCCGCATGTCGCTGGCTTGGCGCTGTACCTGAAGAGCTTGGATCCGGAGACGTATGGCGACTCGCTTGGGGCGCATAGAGGACTCAGGGCGTTGGGCATTACGAACAAGGTGTGGGATGCGGGCGAGTTGAGCCCCAACTTGGTGGCTTATAATGGGGTTAAGAAGTGAAGAAGATCTGGTAGGATTGAGGACGGTGAGAATAAGAGATGAGCCGGGAGGGAAGAGGAGAGGATGTGGGCGGAGATGGCTGAGAGCCTGAGAGGAGGTAGTAGGTTGCATAGCATCGGCGTTTTTTTTTTTTTGGGGTTGGTTTATTTACCCTTCGATGAGAAGCTGACTCTGGTTGGGTGTTGAGCTTTGATCTCGTTACATACTACTTTCTGGATACCTAAGAATCCGGTATAAATCGCTTGAATATCCTCGATATTTCAATGGAGTCCCTCCAACTGATCATGTCTGTTGACTAATGAGTAAGAAGCATCTCATCTAGTAACACGAAGATCTGCGTAGGGCTGACTCCAACGGCGTTGACAGATAAGACACCGTCTACGGCCATCATACCTATGATAGTCGTCTCCAGAACGGGAGGCTTGCACTACATCATGGTGTTGTTGTCATTCATTAGGTCGCATGCGATGACCCCTTGACGGTATTCCTTGGGAGTTTGAGGCAACTACTAGGCGGTTTCTCATCTTTGCAAAGAATGCGATTGTAAGTGACAAAGGCAGACCAAACAGTGCGTGCTTCACCATAATAACGAAAAAAGCGAAATCAACGCATGAAACAGATATTGATATGTGTTTGAACGAAAGCCCCGAATCTTCCCAACTTTCTCCAAAACAGTCCCTTGGCCCAACACACCATGTGTGTGCGTGCCCCTGCATATCCCCGGGATATCAATTGTTGGTTCGTCAGTCCTCCATATGCACGCCTGGCTGTCCGCTCATTTTCCCTGAATGTGTGTAAGAAACGTTGCTGCGTCGGTGTACCTGTTGGGGAAGTGTATGAAATGGCCGCGCTCCGTCTGCTTGGCTTTTCTACCTGCTCGAAGCAGCCCCGCACCCCGCGGCCTGCCCGCCCACGTGCCTGTGTCCTGCCCATTTGCTCCTGGGCTGTCTGTCGTTCCTGCTGAGTGTACGCTCGCTCCTGTGTTCGTAAATCATCCGCTGATTTGGGTGTAGTTTGTTACCATGGAAGTAACTGAAATGAAATCGTCCGTTGTTTGTGTGTCGCTTCGTAACCAAGCTCAGATGAGCTCGCCTATTTCATGATCTGGGCGAATTCGGTATCTGCGTGTGAAGACGGGAGATTAGCACATCTGAATTCTGCACATTGTGTTGTGGTTCCTGACGCAAAGCAGAAGGACCCCTTTCGCTCCTGTGCCTGCGCCACTTGCGCCTAAGGGCTTCCCCTGGTCCTCGTCCTTCAACGGCCCAGCGGTTCGGACCTAACCCCAACACCAAACCCCGCCCTCGGTCCTCCTCCGCATCCTTCCCCGAACCCCTGAAAGAACAACTGAAAGGAAGAAAGAGAAGAAACTCACAATCAATCTGCCCATCCCCATTCTTATCCGCCAACTTGATCATCTCATCCACATCCGCATCCGTCATGTCCTCGCCCAGACTCTTGAGGACAGCCCTGAGCTCCTCCGTCGAGATGGTGCCGGACCCGTCCTTGTCAAAGACCTTGAACGCCTCCAGCAGCTCCTTCTCGGTGTCGGTTTCCTTGACCGAGGCTGACATCAGATTCAGAAACTCCTCAAAGTTAATGACGCCGTCCTTGTTAATGTCGGCCTCATTGACCAGGTCCTCGAGCTCCGACTTGGAGGGGTTCAAGCCCAGCTCGCGCATGACCACGCCCAGCTCTTCGGCGGTGATGTCGCCCGTGTGGTCCTTGTCGAAGAGGTCGAAGACTTCGCGGAATTGGGCGATTTGGTCGGGGCCGAGGGTGGGGTGTTTAAGGGACTGTGTCGTGGGTTGGGGAGGTTAGTAACTGGGGTGTTGGAATCTCATGTTTGCGTTGGGTTGGGTTGTTGATGTTGGTGTTGTTGATTGATGTAAAGGGCACTCACCATGCTTGCGGTTGTGGTATGACGGTGTTTGGTGGGGTACTGCTTGGTGTGTATGTGTCGGCACTTGGTATGCGCGACGGTGTTGTTACGATGTGGATGGTACCTCTGATGAGTGATTTAGGAAGCGGCGAGCTGATTACTTTTCTAGTGGATGAAGACTATCGTGATTGATATTTGGATGAAGGAGGAGGAATGAAGTTGAGGGGGGTCACGGTGAGAGTGATGGCGGGGAGTGCTGATCAGGGCCCAAGCTCAGCTCCAGAGGCAACCCAATTCAGGCTCCAGCGGGCAGCCTGAACTGAATGGCGGGGTACCATCTTTCCGCGGCCGGCAAAGTCTTGCGGTTGCGCTGCCTGCCCGCTTCCCGGCGCCTGCCCAGTGTCCACTGATTCTTGCTGTTGCACAATCCTTTCCCCTCATGATCATCCGATTTCTTGTTGAACTGATTTCGGGATGATTTGCAGCCGTTCTCGCATCGTCCGAAATGTTTCCAGATCTGAAACTTATCTTCTCTTTCTTTTTGCCTTTCAGTTCGGGGGACACTGGGAACCCAAGCCTACAGGTACAACGTCCAGATGCACGATGATCCGCTGGACATTGTCATCCATGTTCTGGACCTCACAGTCGCACGTTCAGCCCTAACCCTTTGAAACTCTTTACCTTTTCTGCTCGCCCCTGAATGATGTAAACAAACTCCAAGGGTTAAGCTTCATTCTCTTTTTGTTCCATTGCATCATCATCCCCAAGTCTGTCTTTTCCCTCTTTCTTTCACCAACACCTCAAAGCGTGACAATCACGGTCTTTGAAATATCCCTCGTCGACCTTTCTCTTTACAACATTGAATCCGAGCTTTTCCAACAATACGAACTACCGAGGAGTGAGGACAAAGACACCGACACCGAAGCTCGCGACCTAGATACCGCATCTTGCATGACTTGCCGGTCAGTTGGTTGGCTCAAGAAGGTGTTTGCTGAGGTAGAAAGAGTCATATACTCCGTCCCTCTCGTCACGCACAAGATGGTGACATTTAGAGGCAAACTCCCATGTTTGCCCAGTATGACATTCACGGGCGTGACGAGCCTCTACATTCATCCAAACAAAGTTTCTCACTATAAAAACACATCCATCGCATCAGTTTCCTACGGCTACCCATTGTGTCGACTAAGCTACACCAGTGTCAATGATTTAAACTTTGTGACTTCTCATCTGAGGCAACCTATCACTATCACGGCTTTCCGTTCACAAAGTACTTCCATCCTACCATCATCTCATTCCCGATGAGGAGCTACGGTAACTCAAATCTGCTTTTCGGAAGTTTCCGGATGGCTTGGATGTTTTGAGAGGTGAAGCACGAGCATTGTGTTCACAATGGAATTAGACGGTCTTCTACTATCATCTTAGCTCACAAAACGCCACGAGATGTCGAGTTCCCTCTCGGCCTGGTGAGCTCGGATTTTACAGGCAAGGCTTGTCCTCTTTCTATCCATCATGCCACTGCAGGGACACATCAAGTTAAATGTCTCAAGGCCCACCGTCAGTTCTGGTGTAGCATCCCAAGTCTTTTACTTTCTGTCAAATGTTGATGAATTTCACCCCATCCACTGCTCACAATACATTGAATCGACGACCATAGTAAATCTCGCAACCTAACACTCTCAAGATGGGCATAACCACCAAAAGCGAAGCCGTCAAAATGGGCAAGTTTCTCACTCTCCAAAGCTCCATGAACTACAGCCACTGACACCCCACGCCCTCCAGTCAATGACTTCGTTAACTCACCCGTCCTCATAAACGCCCAAAGACGCCAAAGTATGGCCTGTACGATTGTCGAGTTGGCCTTTGAGTCACTGAGGAAGGAGTCCAATCTCGGCTGGCTCAGAGATCTCGCCGTGAAAGAGAATTCACATTCATTGAAAAACTTAAAGAAAAACTCAATGGATGTCAAAGTTGCAGCTATGAGGAGGAGAACGTTTCACAAGGTTCTGCTTTGGCATAACATTATTGAAGTTATCGATCGCAGGAAACACCCGATTCCCAAGCGCAAAGCTTAGTGCTCGAAGCTGCTGTATTCGGATGAAATGGGGGTTGAGAGTTATTCTGGGCTTGGAGATTGTGACAAGGGA